TTTTTTTCTCTTAATTGGTGAGTTTAAGCCAGTCATTTCAAGTATGATTATTGGCAGGTCAAGTTTTGTTTTGTCATTGCTATTTTACAATGTTTCTTTTCCTGTTTTTGCTGGTTACTTTAGCCTATCCATTTTCCATTACTGCATCAATGTGAAGGATTTCCCTTAGTATTTCTTGTAGAGTTGGTCTTTTTTCATTAATTCCTTAAATTTCTGCTTTTCTACAAATAATAGAATTTCTCCTACATAACTGATAAACAACTTTGCTGAGTGTAGGATCCTTAGCTGGCCATTGTTTTCTTTCAGCTTACTGTGTATGTCATCCAATTGTCTTCTTTCTCACATGTTTTCTGCTGAGAAAGCAGAGCTTAACCTAATTGACTCTTCTTTGGAGGTGACTTTTGTTCTTTTTACACTATTTTCAGCATTCTATCCTTATCTTTAATTTTGGAAAATTTTACTATGGTGTTTTTCTTTTGGGATCTGTTCTGTTTGGAGTTGGCTGAGTTTCTTTAATGTAGATTTCCTCGTTTTTCATGATACCTGGAAACTTTTCTTCTAGCACTTCTGCCAGAATTTTTCAAGTGCTTTTCCTCTCTTCCCCACCCCACTGAGGAATTCCAATCAGAGATAGGTTGTTCATTTGATGTTATTCCTCTTGTTTCCCATGTTTTCTTCATTTTCCTTCTGGTTTTGCTCAGTTTTTTTCTTCTTCTAAGTTCCTTTGAATTTCTTCTAGCTCATTTATTCTCTAATTCTTCTATTTGGCATTATTTTGTCCCTCCAGCATGTTGGAAAATACTGCCATTTTGGTCCTGAAATTCTGGATTGCATTTTCATGCATTTTTGGTTTTTTCCAATACTGAGTTGGTTGTACCCTTTCTGTCTTATGATGATTTCTTAAATTCTTGTACCTCTTTATTCATAGATTTAATTCTTTCTTCTATCATTTGTACCTACTTCAGCAGTAATACCTGTAACTCTATGTAAATATATTTCTTCTGCCTCTCTGTCTCTAGGGTATTCACTGGATCCACAATCTAGCCTGCTTTTTAAGGAAAAGGCTTGTTTTGGGGTTTGGTTTTGTTTTTTTCATAATGCTTGCATCTGCCTGCTACTTTTTTGACATATGAAATTCCTCCTGGCATGTGTGAGGCAGCTTCTGTTGTGTCTTTGTAGGTTGTTTACAGTTGCAATTATACAAAATTCCATATAGACTTTCAAATAAATAAATATAATTATAAAAATAGATATTATAAATATATATCAGTAAACTGGTAATATCGTGATAATTCACCAACTACTTGGCAGGAACATAATCAAACTGCTATTTTTTAATGTGTTTGGGAAAAGAGAGAAACTTTCTCAATGTCATACCATGTTTCCCATCTCATATTTTCTTCTACCCTCCTTGTTCAGTGAAAAAGAAATTGTAATCTTGAAAGAAATAGAATAGATATAGTGGGACCTGGGAAGCAAGATGGGTTCAGAGGAAATCATGGCCAGGGATCTGGATAACACACACCCAGGATTATGGTTAGGCAGTTTTGTCCTGTCATTGATGAATGCTATGTCACAATCCCTGTCACTCACACTCATGTCTTAGCAAATTGTTATTGTGTACTGCAGAGTCAGAACTGACCCATAGCTGACCCTCCAGCAGGTGTTCAGAGGCAGTAAACTGTCCTGGAGAAGATTGCCCATTTTTCTCCCATGGAGCACCTGGTGGACTCAAAATGCATACCTTTGCATTGGTAGTACAATTTCTTAGCACTAAACTACCAGATGGTGTTAAATGCTGTCCAATTAACCATGACTCATAGCAGCCCTCTAACACTAGATCAGAACATGGCCCTAAAGCTGCTAGATCATCACAATCTCCTCCATGGCCAAACCGTTTGTTGTAGTCACTGTGCTAATTCATCTCATTGAGTCTTCCTCTCTATCTCTGCCTTTTCCCAGAATGAGGACTTTTTCCAAGGACTCACTTCTCCTGGCAACATGCTCAAAGCATATGACCCAATTTCACCATCCTTGCCTCTAAGCAGCACTCTGGTTGCTCTTTTTCCAACACAGATTTGTTTATTCTTTAAGCAGTCCATGGTATAGTCAATATTCTTCTTCAGTACTACAATTCCAAGACATCGATTCTTCTTTGATCTTTGTTCATTGTCCAACTTTCAGATCCATATGAGGCAATTGAAAGGACCACTTGTATCAGGCACAGCGGAATCTCTAAAATTACACCCTTGCTCTTCAGCACTTTAAAGAAGTCCTTGACAGCATATTTTTCCAATGCAATACATATTTTATTCTCTTGACTGCTATTACCGTAGAATGCACAGTAGAATGTACATCAGGGTTGTATTGTTTTCCTATACCTATTCAACACTTACTTTGTTAAGTAAATCACTGGAGAAGCTGGAAAATATGAAGACAAATGTGGCATCTAGTTGGAGAAAGACACATTAGCAACTTGTGTTATGTGGAAGACACAACTTTGCTTCCTGAAAGGAAGGAGGACTTAAAATAATTGTTGCAGAAATAAAAAACTATAGATTTTAATATGGGTTACATCTTCATATCAAGAAACATTTTCATCCCTGATGCAATAGAAAAATATTGGAATGGTCAACAGTTTCATTTTACTTGGATTCATAATCAACACCATTCAAGAAATCAAAACAGCATTCAAGAAATCAAAAGACATATTACATTGAGGAAATCAAGAACTTATACAAAGTTCTAAAGAGCAAGGTTGTAATTTTAAAGACTAAGGTGTGGCTGCTCCAAGCCATGGTCTTTTCCAATTACTTCCTTTGAACCTGAAAGTTGGACAATGAATATGATGGCAAAAGAAGTGATGCCTTTATGTTGTGGTGTTGGAAAAAGAGTACTGAATATTCCATGGACCGCCAAAAGAACAAACAAGTCTTTTTCAGAGGAAGTGTAACCTGGGTGTTCCTTAGAGGCAAGGATAATGAAACTTTGTTTACAGCCATGTTGGCAAATGATGCCAATCCTTGGAAAAAGATGTCATATTGGGTAAGGTGGAGGGTCAGGGAAAGAGAGGAAGACCCTCAACAATATGGATTGGCACAGTGATCATTGTCTCAAGCATATCAGAGTTGGTGAAGACACCACAGAATAGGGCAAAGTTTAGCTCTGTTGTTTATAGACCTGCAATGAGTCAGAGACATCCTGATGACACCTAATAATAGTAAGAAGACTGGGTGGAAATAGTTGATACCTAGTTGATTCTATTCCGTCAGGTGTCTGTAGTGACCAAATCCTTACAACTTAGAATAATCATCAGAGGATGAATTAGTGTGATGTTGATATACAACTTTGATGTATTAATTGCACAGAAAATTAATTGGGAGAGATCCAAGAAGTACAGTCCATGAACTTTGTAAGCAAGATGATAATCCTAGAGTATTTGAAAGACACTCTCTCTGGTTTTCTGATCAAATCAATGTGATTCGGTCAAGCAGGCGTGTTGATTAGTCCTTGTTCACCGAGTCTAGATCTGTCACCTTGAATCAGAATCACTCCTTCCTTAGCTCCTCATGTGAACAGTGGAATAAAAGAAGATCTGTCTTCCACAGGGATCCTCCACCAGGTCTCCAAGGCTGTAAATCACTCCAGAAGCAGCCAGTGGGGTTTTGAACTACTACATCTCAGCTAGCAGCTAAACTTGTTTCACACCATGCTGCAAGGGAGCTTTTTTTTTATTTGGGTTTGCTTCTGGCTGCATGAAGTAAAATGAGCTTTTTAAAAAAAGAATGAACTCTTCAGGGAGCTCTGATGACCTAGTGGTTAGGAGTTGCACTGCCAGTCCAAAGGCATGTGTTTCAAATCCACAAGCTTCTCCACAGGTGAAAGATGGGCAATCTCTTTACAGCCTCTGAAAACTCACTAGATTACGAGTTGTTTCTGACTTGACTGACAGTGTATAATAACAACAACTACTTTAGAAGTGAATATTACTTAAGTATAGAAGTTTGGTGACCTGTAAAAGTAAGAAAACGATGTATTTTCATGCTTTCCTAGGTTTTCCTTGTGGAGAAGGCAGGGAGGCGCTCTCTGTTTCTCTTTGGAATGAGTGGGATGTTCCTCTGCGCCATCTTCATGTCGGTGGGACTTGTGTTACTGGTAAGTTTAGTGTTTACCCTGAGATTTCCTGTTAGTGCAAAACACCATTATGTTACAAGTTAAAGGACCTTCTATGTAAAGAAAAAAAAATATCAACCCAAAACCCAAATACATTAGCTAGCTTTTGTGGAGGCAAGAATTTTGAAGCTCCATCTCACATATTTTGGGCACATGGCCAGGAGGGGACCAGTCCTTGAAGCCTTGAAGAACATCATCCTTGGAAGGGTGGAGGGACAGCACAGGAGAGGAAGACCCTGGAAGAGAAGAATTAACACAGTAACTGGGGCAATGGGGGCAGGTGTGTTGGAGGGGTGTGATTGGCTCAGGATAAAACAGGGTTCACGCATATTGTCCATAGTGTTGCTGAGTCACAAGTGACTCGACGGCACATAACAACAATTGTGGCCCAGGGAGACAATGCAGCCTCACAGAGCACGGGCCCTGTAGTCAGCGCCAACTGACTTCACCACTTGCTACCTCTGTGACCTTGGACAAGTCCCTTAGCCTCTCCGGAACCCTGAATCCTCATTCACTGCTTCATACAACTTCAGGCAGGCCAGCAACCCTGGGACACGCAACAGCAAAGCTCACCAGATTCTCTCCACATGTCTTTCACAGGGAAAAAAAACACAAAACAACTGATTTAAGGTTGCATAAAATCTTAATCCATTGTTATTCAATCCCGCCCCCAAAGTCCACTCCACTGTGCTACCCTCATTCTGGACTCTTATCATAACAATAATACCTAATCATATATCCCTTTTAGACAGTTCTTTCTCTCATCTGTTTAAATGCAGTATACATTACTTATCCCATCTTTCTCAGTCTCCCCCAAATCCCTATCAGTCCTCTTTTACAACAGTGGCATTATGCTGTATTTGTCTTTTTGTGACTGAGATATTTCACTCAGCATAATGTCCTCCAGGGTCACCCATTTTGTATAATATTTCATGAGTTCCTTGTTTTTTAATGCTGCATAGTATTCCATTGTGTGAATATACCAGAGCTTCTCTATCCATTTATTGATGAGTACTTACTTGCGTTGTTTCCAACTCTTTGTTATTGTGAACGAAGGCAAAATAAACATAGGTCTGCATGTATCTGTTTGGGTGACAGTTCTGGTTTCTTTAGGGTACATTTCCAGTAGTGGAATTGCAGGGTCAAATGGTATTTCTCAGGGAGTTGCATGCATATGATCAATAACCAATGGTACTGAAGAAAGAAGTTCAGAGTGCACTGATGGCATTAACCAAAAATAGGCTCTAAGAATTGACAGAATACCAGTTGAGGTGTTTGAACAAACAGATGTAATTCCATGTGCTCGCTCATCAACACTAAACACTTTAGGAAACAGATACTTGACCAACTGACTAGTAGGGATCAATATTGTTCTCTATTAAAAAGAAAAGTTTCTTTAAAAAAAAATCTTAGTCTAGAAGATTGCTCTATGGGACCTCAAGCAATTTCAGTATAACTCGGAACATGAACACGTCAGAAACACAACAGTGCCATGGCTGAGCTCTCAGTGGGAGGCTGTCCTAACTCCACCTCTCCCTGTTTGGTTTTCCTCTCTGCAGGATAAACTGGCGTGGATGAGTTACGTGAGCATGGTCGCTATCTTCCTCTTCGTCAGCTTCTTTGAGATCGGACCGGGCCCTATCCCGTGGTTCATGGTGGCCGAGCTGTTCAGTCAAGGATCTCGTCCCAATGCGTTGGCAATAGGCGCACTTAGTAACTGGCTCTGCAATTTCCTCATAGCTGTGTTATTCCAGTACATCGCGGTAAGTGGTCCAATGGGCAGGTGGCCTTCACAGACAGAAGACAGGGGCAGACAATTACTAACTGGAGCTCTGTGCTTGTTTCCTCTGCAGGATTTCTGTGGACCATATGTGTTTTTCCTCTTTGCTGGAGTGATCCTGGGTTTCACCCTGTTCATATACTTCAAAGTTCCAGAAACCAAAGGGAAGTCCTATGAAGAAATCTCAGCGTATTTCCAGAAGAAGAAGAAGAAGAAGGGTGGTTCATCTGAAAGACCAAAGGCTGAAGTAGAAATGGAATTCCTGGGGCCTACAGACACTGTGTGAAGACAGCCAGCTTTTTCACATGAACAGAAACAGAAAGGGAAGCACGTTTTCATGACAATTCCTTGAGAAAATCTCAAAGTCTTGAAGTATTATTTTTTTAAGAGTTTCTACAGACTTTGATTGGAAATGCCATTAGATATTACCAATGTATTTTTTTAGGTTAGAGAATAAACCTTTGTTATGATGACACTATAATTAAGCAAACAGAAAAATCTAGTTCATATTTATGTTGAAAGGCAAGTACATTCTCTTGGTCCTGGTGGCCCTATTCTTTATAAGGTTCTCTTAGAATGGAAGAGGTTTTAATGTACTTTATTATTTTTTTTACTAAATTTGTGACAAGAAATGTAAAGATATAACTAAGATTTACATATTTGGATATTATTAGAATTTTTCTACAAGTCTTATACTAGGAAGAGACACATTAACATTGACAAGTTTTTCTTATTTCTCCTAACAGTTTTTTCCATTTCGTACACCCTAGAATTTGTATGTTGTTTATAACTGGGCTTCCCCCCACCAGATTTTCATGCAGAATGTTTATTGAATATATGAAAATGCATTCCTTTATAAAGAAAAACTTACTTTCTTGCCAGTTTGCCAGAAATTTCCAGGACTTGGCAGAAAGATTTTAGCTTCTTCCTTTGATGACAGCTAGTTCTTGAGAGATTAAATCTCAGTAAATCCTCCCTGGCCTTATAGCTTAGGTTATCAGCAAGAATAACATCTTTTTTTTTAATAGAAAGCACGTTCATTTCTTGTCGGTTAAATACTTTTAATCATGTTTTGCTTGTTACCTCAGCACAACCTGGTTTTTCTATGTTGTGTCATAAAAATAGATTTATGATCCAGGAATTTTGCTTATCTCTACAAACCCAGAATTTGTTAGGTCAGTCTCAGGAACTTTGATGACAAGGATGGATCTGTTAAAAACATTCCCTGAATTACTGTGTGTCTCAAAACAATTTGAAAAAATAAGGGTGAGAGGATTCTTGGAGAGAAAAGGATAAATTTCTGAAACTTTACGGGTATTAATATGTTTGAAACATTTTATTTCAAATATGGTAACATCTCTACTTAGTTTCTCCTGGGAGGACTGAGTGTTATACCTTGAAGCAACCATGTATTTTACCATTTCCTTCACTGTCTCAGTGGTATATAGAAGCTGGCTAACTATTCTAATGCTATTGTTGCTATTTATTGTGTACTATGTAGAAGTCAATCACTGTTAAGTGCTTTTTCCTATGTAGCTTACAGTCACTTGTACAATTTTGGAAATAGAGTTGTAGCAGATTCTAAAGGCTTAACAGGGAGTTCAAGTACCTCTACACTGTCCCCCCCACCCCAGCACACACACACACACACACACACAAAGTAGAAGCCCAGAGGGATTCACAGGGAATTACACTGCTTAACCAAAGGTGAGGACTCTCTGGTGGTCTCACTCCACCAGCAACTCAGAAGGAGAAAGATGAGAAAAACGCCTCCCTTGCAAGTTACAGCCTCCAAAAAAGTCCACCATTGGGTCGGCTATGAGTCAGTTCCAACCTGATGACAGGGGTTTGAGATTTTAATTTAATAAATATTAACGCAAGGGCAAAACAGAAAAGAAACAAAAAGAAGCTCACAGCTGTCAAGTCAATTCTGAGTCATAGAGACCAGATGTTGTTGTTATTATGTGCCATTGAGTCGCCTGTGACTCATAGCGACCCTATGGACAACAGCCTTGCTCTGTTCTGTGCCAACCTCACTGACTCTGACACACCCACCCCCATCACCCCAGTCACCAAATCAATCCATCTCATCGAGGCTCTTCCTCTCCTGCGCTGTCCCTCCACCCTCCCAAGCATGACGTCCCTCTCCAAGGAC